ACACGGCTCCTTACTTCCATATTCAGTGCATCCATGAGAACCCAACGTCATTGGCGAACCTGTGTCTAAAGTGGTGGTCATATGGGGCATTTATCCTGATGAAAGGTAGTTACAGGAACTCAAAATATTATGAGTATCGATAAATTATCATGAAAAGGTTAATAAATTATTCAACTGAATTGCGAAACTGACAGTGATGAAAATCGTGGTATGCTTACCTTTACTGTTTTTTTATGTGCGCTCAGTGGGAGTATGAGGAGCTTCGTGATTTAATTCAATAGATCTAAGTCTCGATGAGATATATTTGTAAAGCGCCTGCACAGAGCTGTAGTTCGGATTTTTAGTACAAACTTTCGTCATGGCACCGCGAGCCTCAGGTGGCCTTTGTGTCTTATCTTCGGTGACCATTTCAAAAAGTTCCTCTTCCTTGGGGACCCATGGTATTACTAGAGCATTCTGGCTAAACTTTGAGGCTAATCGATCCATACGTGGCTGGAGAAGGTCTGCGATACTGGTACTTGCGAGTGATGCCGCCATCCAAGCACAGACAACTTCATCCAAAAGTACATTTTCCAAAAGGTGGTTTCTTGGCTCACTATGGGGGGTTATCGGTGTTGATAAAACACAAAGAGAAGACTTGCAACAAGGGTTACCCTTTTCCGCATTTTTTACTGATTCCAGTTCGACTCGTCCTTGATGGGTGCGATGCACGCACCATAGCAGCAGACCCACTTGAAGGAGCACCGCGCACAGAATCCGAAGTTGCACCATCTCATAAAGTAAGATCCACAACATGTTACAAGCGTCCGACATAGACGGCTTGGCTGTTAATGGTTGTTGTGTACACAAGAGAAGGTGTGTCGGTGGCCTCCCCAATTTGGATGTCAAAGTAGTGGAGTTGGTGTAAAATGCATACATAGATCGTTGCGTGATGTATCGAGAGGGCGAGTGGCAGTGAAGGTCACCAAGTGGGCTCCGCTGCCCCCTATGCGTCGCACCATCTCTGAAGGCCCTCTCGAGCGTGATAATTTGCGGTACGGCAGCTTCAACCACACTGTGTGGGATCCCAAACAACTCTTCTTTTATGATATTGAGATTATCAGAAATCAGTTCAGCTTCCGTGTCAACAGCACTTGATAAAGAAGTAGAGGAAAAAGCTTTTCCGAGTTGAGATGAAGCAAACAAGAGATCTACTCGAGCCAAAAGCGTGGTGTGTCGTCGTGATGCTTCCCTCCACGCCTTTTGATACAATGATTTACGAAATACGTCGTGTGAAAGAACCTCAACAAGGTAAGCGGCGGCTGCAGACTCATCCCAGAGGTGCTCTGAGGCCACAGCCTGTTGGCACCAATCTTCGCTAGGTAAGCCTCCCTTTCCCCCGGCATCTGGCGGAGGCTGCAAAGTGGCATACTGAATAGAGTACTGCACGCAATCTCGGAGAGGTGTGAGGACCCACTGCTGTAAAATACGCCCATATGCACCATTTTGCTCCGCCGTTGTGATAACCGCAGGCATCTCCCCAGCGGTTGGGCGTGTGGTCGAGTAGATAGGCATCCCTGAGAGAGGAAGACCCTGCTTAGCTGGCAAACCCTGCAGTTTGTGTTCCTGCTGAAAAAGGTACCGGCTGAGGCTGTCTACGGTTTGGCGCGGCGATGGGGACAAGCATAGGCCCCAGGGAAGCCCCGACAATTCACGCGGAGAGGCCGAAGGGAAAGAAGGAGAAGAGGAACAAGACGAGGGGGCTTCTTTCCCTATCCCAGCTGCAATGTCCCGAGCACAGCGGAGGCTCGCGAGGAAACAACGGCAGTCTACCCTACACGAAAGTGCCCTGGAGACAACGGAAAGGACCGCTTGATGTCCTGGGGGGGCCCAGTTGTCATCCTGAAAGGGTTCCTCACTATTAGAACAAACGTGAAGGGACCCCTGTTGAGAAAGCTTGCACTCCGGGGTGGAAGATAACCCGGCCTGCGGCGTGCAACGAGAATAACTTTTGCCCGTGTGAACCTGTTTAAACCACGTTTGTCGCACGCAATAATTCGGCGCACAGGGATGGGGCAGCACCCTCTCAAATCTGACATAACGTCGGATTAAACCGCAATCTCTCATACGAATAATCGTCACAATAAAAGGATACCATAACAGTTATCCGGCTAGATTAGAAACAAGCAGCTGATACATATATATATATTCCCAGTAATGATGAAATCTTTCTGTATCCATATGAGAAAATTAAAAAAAAAGTAAAGAGAACATTCAAATAGAAAAAAATAATCCCTCGTGGCCGAAGTCATATGAGGTTAGATGTACAGAAAACTGAAAGGGTGTAAAGTTTTTCTATCTAAAAGGTATAATACGCCGTTTGAAGCGCACACATATATCTTTTTTCATTTATTTGGCGGCCTCTATCCTTACATAAGGAATGGGTTGTGTAAAAATAGCGGAAATGCAATTACGGTGTATTTTATTCATCTAGATCCTCAAAAATCATAAATAACGTGCGGTAAAACCTTACAACAGTCAAATTGCATTAGAATTCGAAAAAAAAAGCGGATCCTCCCTGACAATATTAACGCCAAATAATTTCCACATGCCCATCCGCACAAAATTAACTTGTTAAGTGAAAAGAGTTGTTCTATATATGTATATATGTTCCTTCCCTTTCCCCTCAGATCTAGTCATGGTATCCCTGTCCTTACTCATAAGAGGGATAAAGAGAAAACTGAAACTGCAGGAACACAATATTACTGTAACAACACTCCCCCGAACCCTTCATTAGAGACAAACTACAAAGGGGGGTGTACTATATTGTTCTCTATTTTTTTATGAGTTTACGCAGCAATTTAAATTGCATTGTCGTCAGTGATTTCATGTACGACAGCGTGGCAGCGGGCCCCTGTCTCTTTACCGATGTCCCATTAATACTCACGACAAACCAGGTTGATGGTGGTGTGGTAAATCGTTTAATGAATGGATGACGCGCATCGGAAGATTCTGACACGTCAGGCAGTCCAAGAAGACGCATTGGTGGTGCCGTGATTGGATTCGGGTGTTCATCTAATGCAATTTTGATCCCCCACGCGTTCTCCAGGGACGGCCGCCGAAGGACCATCTCCTCATCTGTGAAGGATATCATCTCAACACCGTGATCAAACCGACACAGCGGCGTCGTGAAAGTGTCTTCGATCGCCACCTTTCCGCTCACTTCCTCAATCATAGATGTGGGCACATTGCTGACGCCTGAGGTGTTGTCGTAATTGGTGCTGTTTGCATCGATGTCAAATACAGCTCGAGTAGGTTGTTGCCGTATGTTTTCCAAGGTAGACTCAACAACTTTCTTTTCTGCTCGCCTACCCTCATCGTTTCCGTCAACAGCAACTTGAACGGTGCTG